GACAAAAATAACAACACAGTAGAAACTGCATATTTGCATACAGTTTGAGTGTTGCTTTCTATTTTAGTTGCTGTCGATAATGCAGACCTAAAATGCATTGCTACTTTATATTTGTTGGTTTTATTAAACATAATAAATGTGACCATACCTAATGTTGCCACCGTAAATTAATAAGACGCCCTAAATGGCATCTATTTGTCTTTGAACTTTGTATCTACATAAAATGGGCTGGGAAAGGGAAGAGACATAAAGGGTTAAAGCTTTGAAGAACTTCTCTGTTTCTTTTCTCAAGTCCACTAAAAAAAAAAAAAAAAAAAATGTTTTCTGTTTTTTGTGTTGTTTGCTTTATTGTGGGTTTTGCTGCTGATACACTTTTCCGCTCATATTGTAGTCTTAGTTATTTAATAAACTGCATTCAGAGATGATTCAGGATATGTTAGCTATTATTTAAGAATATTTACACGGTATGCTGCAAGTTTCAAAATTCAGCTTTCTGAAGCAAATGAAAAGAGACTAAATGAGTAAAGTAACTTTAGGTAATTTTAGAGCACACGTAGCCCTCGGCTAAATAACAGGTACTGGGTGCCTGCCTTTAATCTTTTAAGAAATCAAAGCAGATTTCAGAGACCAAATTATTTTCCAGCAAATACCTCTGAGTGCAAAACAAAATCATGATCCAGAATATTACTATATTTTCTTTTATTATGAAAAAGATGCAGGGAGGCATATTCTTTTGCAATTGTTCTATGGGGAGGCATACGAGCACTGCAGCAGCCTTGCCCTTTGGCACTCAAAAGGCCCATGGCTCCCAGTTGAAAGTTCAAGAGGAATACAGGTAAGCAAAATATCATTATTTGAGTTGGCCAGTGGCCAGAATGGCTAACACCCCAATCCTAACGAAGAAGGGAAAAGAATCCCAAGCCTGCTGTTTAATATGCATGACATGTCGGCTCTGCAGTCAACTTTTCCTTCCACCCCCTGCTTTTGTCCGCTTTTTCCACCTGTTGCAACTTGTCCTTACCCAGGCTGAGAGCTTGCCAAGGCAGGAATTTTCTTACTTCACTGTCGCATTGTGTCTGGCACAATGATGCCATGATCCCCGACTACTCCTATTGAGACTCCAAAGACATCATGAATAATGCTGGCACTGTGCAGCTCATCAAGACTTCCCTTTTCACAAATACATTAAATAGCATATATATACATATACAAATAAAATCTTGATGCTACAATTGTGCCTCTCCAAGCTAGAATTCAAATATGAAGAAGAGTTTTACAGGATCTGTCTCGTGGTTGCATGACTAACCACCAGATTTTCAGTAAAGTGTTCTTGAAGATAAGAAAAATATGCGAGTAGAAACAATAAAAATAATGCAATTCAATCTTATCAATTCAGGCAGTTCCAGCTTTTATGTGGCAAACAAGGAGATCAAATTGCATTTATCTAATATCACAGATTTTTTAAATGTCTAAAATATTTAATTATTTTGCTTTGGCAACCCAAAGCTGAGGAACAGATTACTGTTCCCACTACATAAGGAAATAACTGACAACAATTAGTATTTATTCTTGTTGCTTTTGTAGTAAAAATAGAATTCCATCACTTTCAAGGAAACCTAAAATATTAATAAGAATGTGATGAACTGAGTAAATGTGACGCCATAAGGAAATGATGGAGAACAGGTTGGAAATACAGTGCTTTGGGAATGTATTGCATTATCAAGTTTGTGATTGTGCATTTTGACAAGAGCCGCCCTCAGATTGATACAGTAGCCAAAGGGCACTCTTCCTCCTGCAAAGCTGTTTGTTTCCATCTAGAAAAGGGGGAGTGGAAGGGGATTGATCCCCTCTGACAATCGATAGTGACTCAAGCCCAGGCTCTTCCACAAGAGGTCACTCCTGAGTGGCAAAATTCACTGAAAATGGCCAAAATGTGAACCAGACAGTGACCACGGAGAGAAAAACAGCACTAAGTACAATAGCATTGTTTTACCACCTACAATTTGACTACTGTGGCAGCTCCTATAATCCATACATGCAGTAAGGTCTATTGGTTTTCGTATACCTACACAGTTTCTGGGATCCTTGTGATGCATAGACACATTCCCTATGTACCTAATCCTGTGCTCTGTCATGTGTGGTACAAAATTAACATGGCAGGCTACTCATCAGGAGACCATACTACAATTGGCATTAATTAAGAGGGGTTTTGGCTGCCTAAGAAAAACCTAGAGTCTGAATGACACAAAATTACTTGGAAATTATGAGATCTACCACTAATTTTAAAAGCTGACCAGAAAAAGACTTGTTCACATGGAAAGGAGAAGTAGAGAAAGCACATTTCTTGAACCAAATGCACATATTTTCTAATAGCAGAGATTGCTAGGTGAAAAACATGCTTTCCTGACCAAACATTCTCTGCATAAATTAAACGAGTGAAATAGTTGGTAGCATCAAATAAATAGCAGTCTCTTTACATGTATTTAAGAGTGGGATCATAGATTTACATATTTTGGTAACAGTCCCCAAGGCCATACTCGGTTATTTTTCAGCTCAAGAAAGCTTCAATTAAAATACAAGTTCAATCCACACTGGATGAGAAGCCACTGAAAAGCTGTATGATCAAGAGGACAGACATTGTGTGAACTTTGGAAATTGAGTCTGGCAGTTTAAGCCTAATTTTCAATGAAATTTGTGTCTACAAGTCAAAAAGCGTAACTGAAAATTACCATTTGTCCTTGTAGTGTGAGCAGAAGCAATTAGGATTATACAGAAAGCCCAAATTCTGTCTACTTGGTCTCTAGGAACAGCCTCCACAGTTTTAAATTAAAGAGAAAATTCATTTGATCACTTTGAGAGGAATATACCTGTCCTTTATATATTTGTGCTGCTAAAAAGATCAATGCCACAACAGTACTTACTCAAAAACTGGATTATTATTATTATTATTATTTTTTGGCAACCCTTAAAATGCGAAGAAGGAAAATACAAATGAATGAAGCATCTGAATATTTCATAAAAGATCACTGGGGGTCAAAGTAGCCTTCTAGTAGGCATCAGTTGCTTGTTTTCCATGTAAAACTGGAGGTGTTTTAAGCCATCTTTAAAAAATTTCCTTTGTTTGGATTCGACATTGGCAGCAGACAATAATAAGAGAGTACTATAAAACTACAGAATCGTTAAACTTTGCAAGAACTTTATAAACACACTTGCAGATATTGCACATATCTTCTCTGTGCTCTGCAGTCAAACTGGACAATGAAACGACCACCTGTTAACTGCTAACAATGTGTCATTACCAGTTCTCATGCCTTTTTAAAGCAATTTTGGCTCTAGCTGCTGATAATTCTGGCTACGATACTTGTGTGAACATTAAGGGCACAGAAAGCCAAAGGCAGAAAACTGACAATACAGTTTGTGCTTAGACTACTAATAAGTAAGTGAATAATATGATTTTTCTAATTCCACATAATTACTAGATCTCAAGGGGCCAAAAAAGTTCTGAATACATATTTTAGAAGCAATTCAAGCTGCAGTGTTTAGATCCCAGCTTTGATTCACAGCAGATATTTTCACGATTTTTAATAGTTTAAATAGCCTTGAACAAAACGAAGGTTACTCACAATTCTCTAAGGTTTGAAAAGAAATGTAGAATAAGTCCATGACACTGCTCGCGTTCACTTTTTCTGTTTTGTTTGACAAATTATCAGTCAAAGATACGTGAGAAATCAAAATAAATAAGTGAAATTTTTCTGAGTGCTGAGACAATTTATGGGTGCTTTGCTATTAGCTGCAATGAGAGCAGAATCAGGCCCTCCAAACTTACCGTGCTCTCTGTCTCATTTTTTCTCCTTCTGAGAAATGCAATGTTATACACACAGCACAAAGGCACTGGGACATTTTTTTTTACAAATACACCCAGACTACTTTATATTTTATAACTGAAAGAAAAATCTTTAAAAATATATTAAAAAATATATCTATAAAAAATCTCTGAGATGGTAAGAAAACAACAACAAAAAGCTTTGGTCTGCAAAAAGAGACTATTTAATGAATCTCAGTATTTGTGTTTGTGGGAGCGCATGCATGTGTGCATATATTTATGAATATGTGGATAATTATCATTAAAAATAGCGATGCCGGGTCCTTTTATTGTAACTCTTTTCCTAACATCTCAGGCTTTGATCCTGCACTGAAATGCGTGCAGGCAAATTCCCGCACAGACCGTCAGCACCTATAGGTATCTCGGAGCAGCACGCGGGGCTAAAGCTGTCACGGTGCTTACATTAGCAGCACCATGCGGCTCCTGCCAAACAAAGAAGGAAAACAAAGATTTGGGAGAGGGGGTGACATTTTAAAAAGCTCAGTGGGAGATTTGGGGTCACCCCCAGCTCCTGCTGCCCCCAGTACCACAAACGTCTCAACACGAACTGGAAGAGGAAAGTCTCAGTGGGCTGAAGCCCACCCCTTACCGGCTTTAGATCACTTTCTTTTGTAATCTTATCAATAAAAATCCACCTTGATCCCTGAAATTTACTTTCCATACAATTACAGAACCATCCCTGAATGACGGCTAGAGAGGAAATGCCAGGTCTTTCAGCAATGCAGTGTATAAAATATATAACAGACAAAATTACTCTAGCAATTTGAGGTATTTTACTAAAATGGAAACAAAGCAACTGCAATAGACCATTAGCATAGGACTCATGTTGCTTATTTTTAAAAATAAATGGCTTGAATAAATGTCTTCTAAACAAATTTATTTCGTTTAGGAGGGAATGTCACCCTTTAAAAATGTGGAGCTAGTAACTGTCCTTACTTAAATGCAAGTTATGTATATCAGCCCAGAACACATTCAGCTTTACAATTCTCAGTGATCTTCCTTACATTCTGCATGTAATAAAAATTATCTTACCCTTTAATGGTGTATTTATTTTACAAAGGGGAAACAGAAGGAAAAAAAGAAAAAGAAAAAAAAAACAGAAAGAAAAATGTCTTACTTAAAGATTTTCTGTGTTCAGGCTTTGATTCTTTGGATTCAGTGTCTAATCTATTCAGTAATTCAGTGCTGGAGGATCTGCTGAGTTTGAACTCCAAATTTCTCGATGTACAACTCCGTTCTTTTGGCTGGGGAAAGAAAATGTATATTTATATCTATGCGTGCTTCTAATAAAATTATTATTTGTATGAATGCAGCAGGAGATTGCAGAATGCCAGCACAGAATAAGGAGCTAATAGACACAGCAAGTGATGTAGTGAGTATATTATTTAAGGGAAGTGTAATGCAAAATTTTTCATATAGCAAAGCTTTTATGCCCCAACAGACTGATCTTAATTTCTGAGATAAATTCCCATTTAAGTAAGGAAAACAAAAGGCCTGCTTCCTTAGGCCTTAGAGACCAAAATGATTTCCACATTGTAGGCTATTTCCAAATTATTGTGGAGAGGAAGGTTGTTAAAGTAGCCTTTCTTTTATTTTAGATATTCACAGTAAATGTTCTTTCAAACACAATTGTTACAAACATCTGTACAGATTTGGGTTAAACTCTGCTGGTACAAGCTTAGGGAAGAGCAGGGCTCTTTTTCTGCTACTCTAATTGTTAGGGACAAGTAGTGGTCCCAGTGTTTGTCACAATCAGGAAAAAAAGGAGGAAGACAATTTTTTTTTGGCTAATTGCACATCTCCCCCCATTTTGCATGGTCAGGTGAGATCTGCTGCCTTGATGGCTGGGAAGGTTTTAAAACTAGAACAAATGTAATGGGTGAAACTGGTGCAATGGTTGGTTACCCTGCACATAGCAGGGGGCTTGAAACTAGATGATTATTGTGGTCCTTTTCAACCCAGGTCATTCTACGATTCCATGAAACCTCCAGTGAGTGCTTTGGGTGGCATCCTGTCCTGGGCATGCAGCAATGGGACAAGCCCTGCCCTCCTGTACCATCACTTTGCTATATGTTGCTGTGGCTCACCGTGTGATCTGAGCTGCCAAAGCCATTATTTTACCTCTTTGCAGAGCAGCACTGAAACAATAGTTGAGTCTATTAGATGCTTAGCTGAGTAGCACACACACAAAAAAAGAAAGTCTCTACGGTAAACTCCACCCCAAAATCTTCAGTGGGATATCAATATCCTTGCATAGCCAATGAAATGCGCACTATGAAGACATACATCATCAGATCAAACTTTTCTTGGCTGATTATAGCCTCAGGGTAATAGAATGTTTGCAGCTCTTTAAGGGAACAGTAGCCCTGCTCAGGTTAACCCTTTCCAAGAGACTGACTGTGCCCTCTCTGCCAATTCCATTTCAGAAAAAAAAAAAAAAAAAAAAAAAAAAACCCTTTGAAAAATGCAATAAATTGGGGTAATTTTCTCTCGTCACATTCTGCAGTGAACAAGGGAAGTCAATGCTCCCCCCACCCCACAAAAGTATGTTCTTGGAGCAGGCAGAGAAGGCCATCATTTGGAATTTGTACTGAGAGTGGCAAAAAGAGAAAGAAAAAGCTACAGCTGAATCTGGTTTGGTAATTAAAAAGTGTTTTAATAAAACGCAGCCCTGCTTACTTCTCGTAGAAAAAAACCCAGCTTTCCTAGGAGAATAACAGCAATCAGTTACAAAGGAATATTATTTGCTAGTGTTATTCTTGTGAATAAGTAATACAAAAATTCATAAAAGGATCAAATGTAGTAATAGTTCTATTGAAGATTATATACTGTAGGCTCCATAAACAGAAAATGCAAAAATTCATTAGTTATTAAGTGCTTGTGTGCTTTTACAACCCTCAGCAAACCATCGTCCTTGTTATTTCAGAGAAATAAATGTAGCGTTGCATTTCCAGGCAAGATTCAAATGACATTTTAGTTCAACAACCTTGTTTATCTGGCATTTTTCAGAAGATTTGCATATTTTTGTACCCTTCAGATAAAGGAATGTCTAGCTAGTTGCTAGCTGCCTGAAACCTGCAGAGATGCCTAAGCAAATGAAGTTGAAATTGCTACATCTTAATTAATAAAGGTAACAGCCAAAACAAATACATACCAATCTGTCAATTGCATTTTTGATAGCATGGAACCAATCCAATATGAGAAAGTCGATATCCGACTGGAGGAGGAACTCATTTCCTGACACTGTCGTGATCTGGGGAAGAGCATGGATGGTGACAGGTAAGTGAAGTGCACAGGACAGATCATTTTCTGCCATTATCTCTGCTACATACCCAAATGCTTCCCTTTGTATCAATAATTATCTCCCAGAGTTACCAAGGAGTTTTGAACCTCTGTCTGAAAGCTGTTTAGTATATGTCACAACAAACGAGATATTGTCTCAGCATTGCAACCACCATACACAAATAGTGCAAAAATAATGATAATGTGACAAAAAGTTAAGAAAAGCCAGGGAACTCAACACGACAGACAGCTCAGATGTAAATCAAAGCATCCTGAAAAGAAATGAATTCAAAGTGAGAATTAATTCCTGTTATTTTCACTTTGCATTTCAATTCTGGTTTTATTTTTATATCTGATTTGTCTATCCTCGATTTTACACATTTCCTGTATACCTGTGATCCCAGAGTCCATTTCCAAGCATTTTGGTCAATTTAATAGTCACTTTTTGTTCACATAAAGAAAACTGCTATCAAAGATGGCTGTGGCAAAGTAATTAGGAGCCCACTTACCAGAGGAAAAATCCTCAGTTTGTCTAAATAGAAGTGTATTTACATTTTTGACCCCCCACTCTGGGGATATTTATCAAAAGAATATTCACTCCCCTGATAACACTGTTTCACTGCCTAACAATATTTGGTGCAAATATGCATGCACATTCTGCTGGTCTGAACTTCTGAAAACCACCATGAAAATAATGATTAATCGCTGTCACACATACATACATATATTGAAATGAGTTTTTGCAAAAAAAAAAACAGATCTCTAGATTATTTTACAAAACAAGTTAAAAGAACCGTTATACAGATAGCAAAACTGAGTCAGGGAGCTGCAGCATAGCACACATGGATGCAGGGTAAAGTAGCTCTCCCTATTTGCAGATCAGTTAGCATCTTCCACCGTGGTTAGCATGATGCAGGAAGGATCTCACCCTGTGCCTGCTCCAAAACAGCTCAGAGCCCACCAACCAAAGCTTCATTATTATTATTAGTATTACTGCTGTGAAGAGATGCCTGTGCAAAACTAGGTAGCATCCAAACTGCACACTCAAGTTACAGTGGTTTGGGACGCACTCTTAGTCCTTACAACAGCTGCTCATCGGGGTGTGGTATTTCTCAGATCCAAAACCTGTTTGGCTTTTTCTCAGGGAATGGCTGAACACAGAGGTTTCCCTCCGAGCAGAGTGTGAGGAAAAGCAGAACAGAGCTGCTAAGACCTGGCGCAGCCTATTAAATCTGGTGACCTGAAGTGCTACTGTTTCGCTGCATCCGCTCATGTCAAGAGTCTTTCCTAAAGAATAAAGAAACAAACCAGCTCAGATGGTCCCCACATCTTTCTTAAAACTGAAATACTACCAGGGGAAAATTAAAAAAAAAAAAAAAAAACAACAAAAAAAAAAAAAAAACCAGCTTATTTTATTAATTGTTCTATAACCCTCCTGTTATTGAGGAAATGCCTGTAAGGAAGGTTTCCAAAGTCATCAGCATTAAGGAAAATCCCATCAGCGCAGCTCCAGTGGAGACATCCTGTGAGAGTGCTGAAGAGAATGTGGGAATGGGCTCCCAGCGCGGGTTGGGAGCCTGCCCGCCTGCCTGCAGATGTTCCCAGCCCCAGCCAGCCCCACACCAGCCCTTCAGGAGCAGACCTCCAGCCTCTCTATTGTTCACGGCGCGCAGGGAGAGCTAGTAGCTGGGGACATTGGAATCCCGTCATTAGTCCTCCGCCGCGGTGCTAACTGCTGCTCATGTGCTATCCATTCTCTTTATCCCAACAAACAAACAAACAAACAAAAAAAGCCCAAATTCAACTTAAGGTAAGCAGTTAAAAGAGATGGCCTCCAGGTTTGCGTCCAGTTCACGCTGCAAGTTTTGGGATCAAAATGCATTACATTTTATCACCTTTAATGTATACATGCAGATATGGATTAGACTAAACACAGGCAACAATTCAATCCGATGCCTCTCTCCCAGCATAAACAAATCATTATTAAAATTATAAAATGGAATAACAGTTTCAAAGTAAGAGCAACATATATAATTAGATTTACTGTATTTTGATGGCTTAAAAGGGACACGACGTAGTTCAGACTCCCGTTCAGTAAATTCAGGATGCATGAAAATACAAGTATTCAGCACTGCATAAACATTTGTACTGCATGATATGCAAAAGAGACACTCCATTGCTAACAAGACCAAAGTAAACTACATGTATAAAGTTTCTTTGTCTGAATGTGTTATTCTGATAATCATATATTATCGATGTTTTAGGAGCAAATCTGTAAAAACAGATCATAGTATTGAGGGAAGAGAATTCATTTAAAATATACTTTCCGTAAGATACAGTTCAAGTTCTTTTCTTTCTTTCCTCAGACTAATCTTCAGAGCAACTAGACAGTTTCAAGAAGACTGCTACTGCTCTCTACAGTTTAAATGCATCCACTCCTTAATTACAGTCAGTAATTGACTTTGTTCTGCTCCATTCCAGTCATTCACAGGAAAGCAGTTCCAAAGGCTTTGGCTGGTAAATCCCATTTAACGTGCAGGTTTCCTATCCTACTTTTATATATTACCTCCTTAGGATTTCTGATAAATGGTTCTTGGAAGGGATTGCTAAACCATATTTGCACTTTGAACAATCGAATTTTCAACACCCTTGGGAAAAGACATCAGTAAAGAATACTAGCTTTGAGTAAACCTTGTGATTGAACAATTTATGATCACAGCCCTAAACGATGTATAACTAACAACAAGCATAAATTGCTCCATATTAAGGCATGCTAACACACCGTCCTTGTACTAGGCACTGCTGACGTAAACAGGGACTGGAGAGAAAATGAAAGAGAAACCTTAAAAAAAAAGAAGAGAAAAAAAAAAAGAAAAAACGTTCTAGTTGCCAGCCTCCATTGTGTTTTGAGGTGCTTTGATTTTTTTTAAATATATCTTGAAATCCTTCTCCATCATTTTTGCAAAGGCTCCAGTCTGGAATTAGCAAGGCCTTACCAAGCAGAACTGTGAGGCTATTGTCAGCAATAAATACCCACAAGAATGACAACCTGCATCAGCCCTCTTGTTTTCCAACAGTGTGTCCTTCAAGTTGCTTATAATGGAGCCAAGGCTCCCAAAGTCCTTTCTTGCTATAGTACCTTGGAAAAATCCCTTCTCAGGCTGAGTTCTTCATCAAGAACAGTTTTGCAACTGCAGTCCTACTGCTCAGTACTGATGATTTGAACGCACTGTCTCACTGCAGGTAAATGCATGTTAAATTTGGTGTGCTGCTGGGCTGCCAACAAAGTGTGGAAAGTAGAGGGCAGGTGTGAAACACCTTTTCATAATATCCTGTTGTTAGTTCATTATAGATTTCTCTTGTCATTATACACAGTTGCAAAGGGAAAAGGGTATGTCAGTATAACGCTCTGCTAAACTTGTATTCAACAAGATCCTATGTTATTAAACGAAAAGATACCCATACAGCACCAACACTATGTTTTAATAATGCCATTACCATTAAATTACATAAATACCCCGTATCTTGTCTGGGATCAGTATTTCCTAAAAATCCCACAAATCCTATGCTTTTTTGATGCTAGGTCATCCTCTGGCACATGCAATGTGCCATGCGTGGTTGTGTTTCTCTAGGACTTCCAAACTTTTACAGCTAACTCAGTTCACCTTTTAAAACTTCTCAGAGATTCCCGTCTTTCATGATATACCCACGCCAAAAGAACACAGGAGATCAAAGACACAAAAACGCCAAGGAATAAGCCCAGAAGTTTTTGGCCACAGCCTTCCTACAAATGTTGGACCAGGGACTATTGCACTGTTTTGAAAAAAATATATCCTTCATGGCATATCCCTTTGGTTCTTTACCAGTATACATTTCTTTTAGCTGCAGAATAGGGATGGAGGCAATTTTAGCAGTCATACTGATAGGCACTCTATGGAGATATGGAAAAGGGAGAAAAAAAATCACACAGCAAAACAAAAATACAAAACCGTATTATTGATTCACTCACTTCAAAGTGTGCTTATGCATCTCTGGTGACTACAACTATTATTTGCAGTGATGAACTATTTTCAGAGAATGCCGAGCACAAACTTCAATGCAGGAAGTGGAGAACTCTTTGGGGAAGAAGAAATACAGCAAAAATACTTCAGAGTCTCTCTCCTGCAGTGAATGAGCATGGAGCAAGCAGCTTGGAAAGTGTGTGTTTCACATATGGCTCATATGCAGCCACCAAGAACCCATCTCCCATTTCTTATTTCAGCCAAATACCGAAACATAACATAGTTTACTTCCTTCTGAATGCAGGACATCCTAAAAAAATCCTGGACTATTGTGGTAGTAGCTCCTTGTATAAACAATCCCATTAGTCCAGTGTTGGATTATTGGATGCTTCTAGACCGTGGAAACCCTACACTGAAGCTAAATCCAGTGCAAAATCCAGTGCAGAAAACCTAAATTTTGATGTCACCTGGGACTCCCACAGCCTGTGGTGAACTAAGTGATTTAAACTTAGATTGACAGATACCTCAGCATGCAGAAACTCAGTAAAATGTGTTCCTCTTGTTGCACTGTGCATTGGGATCGCTGCTCTTGATATATGTAGGAAGAAAGGAAATGTGAGTCGCTGGAGCATTTCTAGCTCAAAAGCTAACACTGTTCCCCCTTCCCACCGCTTCCTTCATCTCACCTTGCGTCTTACAAGCTTTTTTCTGATCATGTTAACCATCTTGATTCCCTTAAAGAAGAGGAATCTAGGCTTTGCCTCTACTTTTTTGAGATATTTTTGCAGGATGGGATCTAGCCATCCTATCCACATAACGCGGGACGTGCCACTCTCCATCTGCATGGCAACCACTAAGGCAGGGAAAAACAACAAAAGAAAAAGGGGGAAAAAAAGGAAAAAAAGAAACAAACTAGGATTTTTCTCTCTTTTTCAAAATGTTATTGAAAAAATAAGGCATATCATTAGAA